TATTGTAATAATGGGCAAATTAGAAGAGGAACTTGCAAGTAGATTAAACGAAGTTCTAGCTCGTATGGACCAGGCAGGATTACGTCTGCGCAAGGACAAATGTCAGTTTATGGTTTCTTCCATCGAGTTTCTTAGATTCAAAATTGACGCTCTGGGCATTAGGCCATCAGCCGACAAAGTTAGAGCCACCCATGAGGCACCACCGCCAAAAGAGAAAAAACAGTTGCAAGCCTTTTTGAGACTGACCAATTTTGAACACTCATTCTTGCCCCGGAAGGCCTCCATTGTGGAACCATTACATAGACTTCTAGACAAGAACGTACCATAGACATGGCGTCCGGTGCAACCAAAAGCACTCGCAGAACTAAAGAATTGGATCGCATCGGATGCGGTCTTAATTCATTATTCTCCGGACCGCCCATTGATCATAACTTGCGATGCGTCACCATACGTCACCATTGCGTTTTACTCGCGCACGCTTTCAAAGGCGGAGAGGAACTATTCGCAGATCGACAGAGAAGTGGTAGCGTTAGTCACAGGTGTCAAAAAATCGCATAACTATTTATATGGAAGGAAGTTCACGCTTATTGCAGATTACACAGCCACACAAAAAAAAATATTTTTTCGGGTCTCGAGGTCAGACTATGTTTACTATATGTTTTCGGGGTCGCTGAATCCGAATCCGAGGTCCAAAAAACCCCAGCACGTCAGGGTTCTGACATAACCTCAAAAAACCTGATACAAAATTATATTCGAGTCCGTGGGTCAGACCATGTTTATTATATGTTTTCAGGGTCGCTGAATCCGAATCCGAGGCCCCATAAAATCGACATCCGCGTCAGCTGCAATCACCTTCCTTCGAAAACTGTTCGCCACCTATGGCACTTCTGAGGAGTTTAAGTTGTTTACGAAATACAATCGGATCCGTCACATCCGATTCGCGCCGTTCCACCCTGCAACCAACGGACAGGCCGAACGAATGGTTCAAACCACGAGGAGTTACCTGAAGCAGTTAGATCGTCACACGGATGGCAACTTAGCTTTGGCTCGTTTCTTGTTTCCGTTACAATTTCGTTACAAAGAAATCGTTTCGTTTTCGTTTCGTTTGCTGGCGGATCAACAACTCCAGCTGGGCCACAGCATTTGCCTGAGCCAAACGGGACTGGAGGACCGCAACGCAGATCGGCCTGTGACCGTCGCCGCCCCCAGTTCTATGATCCGTCTGGGTGTTAAGGGATGTTATATATGCGACTGCATTCTCTCGCGCAGCGATCTCGTTCGACAGAAGTGAGTCTTCACTAAATCACGACAGTCACGACAATTCATCGATTCCCCGTCATATTAATAGCCCCTTGTACTAATTGCAACTGAATTACTGTACGAATTACTGTACCCTGTATTAATCGTCAGTACTGAATTACTTAAATAAATTTAATATATGCTTGCGCATACATAAAACCAACATTCCTGGTATTAGGATTAATGAGTCTATATGCTCTATACCTTTCCTTTTCTTGTCTTGTCTGGAACTACGGCCTGTGTACCAAAAACACGAACACGTCACTAAAATTGATCAAATGCATTGTCATACTGTCTGACTCTGACATCTTCATGTATGAGAATAACTGTTTGAATAACTGTTTTCTACGGGCCGGTCCACAACTTATGTGAACACTTCCAGCTTTTTCCAAGCTTCCATCGATGATATTCTGTGTTTAACGTAGTTGATCTGCGACGGCTTAATACCCAACAAAATACTCTCTTGGACCTTTTCATCTATTATATGAAGTTTCGTCTGTTGTTCTTTTGTTCGTTTTTAATTTCACAACCACACACAACTGACCAAAGTTCCGAGTGTATTAGCAAACTTTTCATCTGCACTGCCCATGAACTATAATTTTCACTATCCAGTTTTTCTGTTAAGTATTGTGAACTCATTTTGTTCATTTTATTGAAACACGTCATTTTATCGTGCCAAAGAAGAAGAAGAAGATATACAGTGGTGCATTTACTTATATTTTCAAAAAGAAAAGATCCAACTTTCTAACTTAAAAAATATCAAAAATAATAATGTAATAAATTTAAATAATAAATACCAAAAGTAAAATAATTTTCGATCATTTAGTTATAGGGTCGCTTTAGAAAATGCATAGAAAATCTAAACTCTCCAACTCTAAAAACACCAAAGTTGTGGAATTTCTGAATAATCAGTTTTATGGCGCCTACAGGATATAGTCGGCCGATCCCGCCCGTTCCAACTTATATAATGCGTGAAAAGGTTTTGGGGTATATGGAAAGTTTCAAGTCGATAGCTTTTAAACTGAGAGATTAGTTCGCGTTGAAACAGACAGAGAGTCGAATTAACGGACATTCTTGTATCAACTCAGGAGATGCTTCTGATCAATAATAAATATACTTAATAGAGTCGAAGATGTCTCCTTCCCTGTGTTAAACATTTTGACCAAAATTATAATACTCTCTGCAAGGTTACAATCCACCCTTACAATTTTGATTACAATCCACCATTACCATTTTTTTAATAATCATTTTTGAAATAAATTGGTCATATGCGCAGAGCACAAGAGGTTATTTGCAAGATTTGCAGCGTGCAAGATTAAGATTCACGTAGATATATAGCAATGGTGGGCAAACTCTCATTTTACATAGCACGCGTGTATAGGTAAGGAAATTCTGCCGCAGCGCTGCCAGCGCTCAAATTTTAAACATGTGTTCGTTTTGCCCCCCACTGATAGATATATAGTAACCAGTAAACTCAAACTGAAGTTTAAAGGTATGTATTCTGAGCAAAAAATTTTTGGTTACGTACTTTTGGGCTTTGGGGAAAAAAACTTAATACTCCCTAATTCTACCGATTTAATAGGGAAGCAGACTAAAAAGTCTATGACTCCTCTGCCAAATTTTCCGATTTGGCAATTTGATTTGCAACACTTGGCAATTTCACAAAAACATTAAAGTACTGGCGTTACGAAATTTCCATTTGGAAGGCACGCAAAATTTTGACACAAACTTAATCTGCGCGCCATGAGTCCAAGTTCCAAATCAGATAGTTTTATCTCTTATAGTCTTCGAGATCCACGCGTTTAAACTTTGAACACGTTTTTATCAGAGAAAGTATATATATGTATGGGTATATTTCCTCTACGGACAGACGGAAATCGCTATATCGACTCGGCAGTTGATGCTGATCAAGAGTATATGTACTTTATGGTCGGATATGATTCTTTCTCTATGTTACATACATTCCCACGACTACAATACACCCTGTACTTTACGAGTCGTAATCTGGAGTTTCTCGAGCGTGACAACATTATATTTTTATTTTAAAGACACCCTCACACACCCTTCTTTCATTTGCAAGCAGTTTGCACCCGAAATCCGGGTTTGGCCGACTATGTCCTATAGCTGCCATAAAATCACAAAATAATGATTATTCTCTGATTGAAAAAAATAAAAATCAGAAATAATCATTATTCTATGATCGAAAAGAAAAAATCAGAAAATAATTATTCTATGATCGAAAAATAAAAGTCACAAAATAATCATTATTCTCTGATCGAAAAATAAAAATCTCAAAATAATCATTATTCTCTGAGCGAACAAATAATCACTATTTTGTTAATTTCTATTTTTTTTTTTGCTCAAAAATATCACTCCGATCATGATTTCGCTCTATGTATTAGATTTTAATGATATTTGACTGCATATCTTCTCCGACCACATACCTAGGTACCATTTAGTACCATGATTTTTTCACTATCACCCCTTCGTACCACTGGGGAATTTTGGGATGTTAGGAAAATTGAATATAAAGCTTCTAAAAATCATAGAAACCAATTTTTTTATGGAAGATTCTTTAGTTTTTATAGAATTATAAGAGTATACCATACTTTATTTTTGGATAAAAAGAAAAGTCCAAAAACATTGTATTGTTATTCCAATTTGTTATCGTTATTCAAGCTTTATAATTATAATTTTTTGAAAAAGTCATGGCCAAAAGTTATAATGATTTTCTGAACCAAGCTTTCAAAAAGATTTGTTTTTAATGTGGAAATTGCCCAAATGTGTAATCCTTAAAGCGACTCCTTACAATTTGCTATTGTAATTGCCAAATCAAAAACTGAAGCTTTAGGATCAAGTATCTTTTTTCCCAATATTTAATGGTACGGAAGGCTGTTAGTCAAAAAATCATAATACCTGTTCTGTACCTGTACTAAATGATACCTGTATGTGTTGTCTTATAAGATATCCAGCCAAATATCAAGTATATCTAATACATAGCGGGAAATCATGAATTAAGTGATATTTTTAAGCGAAAAAAAAAAATGATTATGTATGATTTTTATTTTTCGATCAAAAAATAATGATTATTTTCTGATTTTTTTTTCGATCAGAGATAATAAAACTAATAACAATTACGGTCCATGGATATACATATATATATATATATATATAGTCCATGTATTTATGGTTCAACTATTCCCATGTGAAGTATTTATAGTTAAAAAAGCTTTTGTTTCGAGTGCATGCATTTATTAATCACATGGATACGCACAGGTCAGAAGAACAAACAATGAAGAAAATAGTTTCAGGCCTGAGTAAATTTTTATGTTATGTTTTTAAGGTCAATCAATGGGCATAATAAATTTTACAATTATGTTAAAATTATATTAACAAAAATATTTCACAAAATATTGAAATTTTGTGTACCTGATATTTTTTAATATAAATTTGTTTTTTATAGAAAACTGATACGAAAAAAAACGTTCTGAATTTGAGGAGGAAAGAATACAAACTGATTTCAAACTTAAGAAACTAGTCAGTATTGTCTAATTGTGTATCCATGAAATATACAAAGTTGAGTCGAAATTTAAAAAAAAGTAGTGAAGCTTTTTAAAAGTTTTCCAAAGCTTTTATACATAAATATAAAGCACTGATTTCTAAGTCTTTTATGTATATAAATATATGTTGTATGTATTTACCATTAAATTCATTTTACACCGACGTTAATCTATATAATTTTCGAGCCTTTGAGGACAGTCCCTAAAAAAAAACGACTGCGCAACGGCTGTTTTGGGTACCAAGTTGGTTAACATTCATATAAGATATTGTATGTGAATGTTTTTAAACATGGAATTTGAGCATTTGTTTTATTCATCTTTTCTACTTCACTGCTTAAACTAATATAACACATTTTTTGTTCTATTCATAGATCTTTATTTTTAAACTTGAGTTATAAAAAAAAAATTGAAAAATAAGCAAGCCTTGCAAGTACAAGAATATTTTGTAGCCGTGTAAATGAGAAGGAATCGTTTATTATATACATATATTCATTACATACTATTACAACATATATTCTTGATCAGCATCAACAGCCAAGTCGATATAGCCATTTCCGTCTGTTCGTTCGACTGTCTGTCCGTATGAACGCGTGAATCTCAGAGACTATAAGAGATAGAGCTATAGGATTTGCCATGAAGATTCCTAAAATGCCCGCGCAGTTCAATTTTGTTTTACATTTTTGCCACGCCTTCTTACACCCCATGAATCTTAAATTTCTGTTGCGCCAGTTTTGAAAAACTTTTGATGCCAAACTATTTCTATAGTTAATTTATATCTAACAAGAAAGGAAAGCTAACTTCGGGCGGAGCCGAAGTTTATATACCCTTGCAGCTAAAACCGGATATATATCGCAAACATCGGATATAGTTGGCCGATCCTTATGAAATTTGGTAGGATGGATCAAAATATAATCTGTACCAAGTTCCAGCTTTCTATCTTCAAAAAAACAAAAGTTGGGTCATTTCCGATCGTTCAGTTATATGGCAGCTATAGGATATAGTCGGCCGATCCTAATGAAATTTGGTAGGTTGGATCAACTAACCAAAAATAGAGTCTGTACTAAATTCCAGCTTTCTATCTTCAAAAACACGAAAGTTGGGTCATTTCCGATCGTTCAGTTATATGGCAGCTATAGGATATAGTCGGCCGATCCGGGCCGTTCCGACTTATATGCTGCGTGCAAAGGAAAGAAGGCTGTGTGCAAAGTTTCAAGACGATAGCTTTAAAACTGAGAGACTAGTTTGCGTAGAAACAGACAGACGGACAGACGGACATGCTCATATCAACTCAGGAGGTGATCCTGATCAAGAATATATATACTTTATAGGGTCGGAGATGTCTCCTTCACTGCGTTGCACACTTTTGATCAAAATTATAATACCCTCTGCAAGGGTATAAAAATCAAGTTTCATCCAAATTGGTTCAAATATCAAAATATATATTATCCAAGTATGTATATAATATATAAAACAAGAAAGGAAAGCTAACTTCGGGCGGAGCCGAAGTTTATATACCCTTGCAGCTAAAACCGGATATATATCGCAAACATCGGATATAGTTGGCCGATCCCTATGAAATTTGGTAGGATGGATCAAAATATAATCTGTACCAAGTTCCAGCTTTCTATCTTCAAAAACACAAAAGTTGGGTCATTTCCTATCGTTCAGTTATATGGCAGCTATAGGATATAGTCGGCCGATCCTAATGAAATTTGGTAGGTTGGATCAACTAACCAAAAATAGAGTCTGTACTAAATTCCAGCTTTCTATCTTCAAAAACACGAAAGTTGGGTCATTTCCGATCGTTGAGTTATATGGCAGCTATAGGATATAGTCGGCCGATCCTTATGAAATTTGGCATGTCGTAATGTGTTGCCAAAAATAGCTCTCATGTCAAATTTGAACTCTCTAACTCTAAAAACACCAAAGTTATACCATTTCCGATCAATCAGTTATATGGCAGCTATAGGATATAGTCGGCCGATCCCGGCCGTTCCGACTTATATACTGCGTGCAAAGGAAAGAAGGGTGTGTGCAAGACGATAGCTTTAAAACTGAGAGACTAGTTTGCGTAGAAACAGACAGACGGACAGACGGACAGACGGACATGCTCATATCAACTCAGGAGGTGATCCTGATCAAGAATATATATACTTTATAGGGTCGGAGATGTCTCCTTCACTGCGTTGCACACTTTTGGACAAAATTATAATACCCTCTGCAAGGGTATAAATATAATTTAAATTTTTTTAGTTATTGTTTTGCTTTCCACCTTTCATTCCACCTGGTTTCCAAAAGCAGCCGTAAAAGGCAGCCTGTCTTTTATATAAAATGCGAGATAACCACAAAAGTGCAGGACCAAGTCGGGGCAGGATCCCTTCTTCACACTTATTTATTTATTTTATTCGTTGGTCTGGCCCAATACAAATCCTGCCTTTCTTTTAATTATAATGTTGGCGACTGGGTGGCAACTGACTGAGCAAATTACATTATTTGTATGTAAATGCCAGGCAGCCATAAAGTTGATTTCCCTCCATTGTTTTACACAAATTCGATTATGCAAAACAGAGTACCTCCTGCCATCCTAGACAGTGTCCTATCGAGACACGACGCCTTGTTAAGAAATCATCGAAAATTTTGCGTAATTAGCGCAATTTTTGTTCGACGATGGGGAAAATGAAGTTAGTTCAGCGAGCCACAGCCTGAGCCTATAACTGATTGATCGAAAATGCTATAACTTTGGTATTTTTAGAGTTAGAGAGTTTTGGATTTTTGTGAATCCTCTTTTTTTAGCTAAATATTACATTTTGTTTTTGAATGGACTAAGTATTTTTATTTTAAACAAGAAAAAATTGTACTTTGGGGGGATTTGAAGTTGATATACCTTTGTAGTTTAGTTCGAATAAATATCGCATATGTCGGATATAGTTGGCCGATGCTTATGTGGATTTTAGAAATCCCAAGCTTCTATCGTCGAAAATACCAAATTGGGTAATTTCAGATCGTTCTAAAAAAGTGATCGGCTTTTAATACATTGATATGATTTTAACGCATTAGTATTAGTAACGAATAGCAGAAAGTAGGCTGAAATTTTCTATTCCCTCAGGATAGATCAATTAGATTAAGAGGGGACATCTGATTAACAGGCCAAAAAAAAACGGATTTTCTGGAATTTTTTTTGGCCAAATCAAAACAGCTAATCGAAAATTTGTAAATGAGGTTTTATTATATTATATTTAAAGTACACAATAAAATTTTTTATTTTTTTTTTTTAATTTTTTGAATAAATCGAAAACAAAATGGCGGCCCTGCAGCCCTTATTCGTAGGCCCTATTTTTTTAAAGGGGGTCCATGGCCGAACACCTAACGTCCTTAATTTTTGATCTAGAACAAAAAATCAAGTTTGGTTAGTTTCTGTATCTCAACGGCTATCGACAGACGTAGGATTTTTTCGATATAGTGATTTTTTGCAAAATAGTGAGTGATTGAACAAAATTTTCAATTTTCACGAACAAAAAACGTTACAAAATTGTTAATAAAAAAAAAAGTAAGCAAAATAAAAAAAAAATCGTGTGTCGTGTGTGTGTCGATAGACATAGGTATTCTGAGTATACTGTCAAAATTTTAGATCGATAGGTTAAGAGTTGTTTGAGTTATGTGGTCGGCCAACTCAAAAAAAGCGGTTTCGAGAAAAACGCGTTTAAAGTTTAAAGTACTGTGGGATATACCTGTGAGGCATCGCCGCAGAATGGAAAATTTCGACACTTAGACACTTTTGCCGGACTCTATCTATGGCTATAGAATATAGTCGCCTGATCCCCACCGATATATAGAAGATTACAATTTCCCGATTACCCCGACCGGTGTTGCCAACGTTTGTTTGAAAAAAAAATCGTTTTTGACGAGAAGAACAATGCAAAACAGCTGAAAATTAAAAAAAAATGGCAACACTTTTTTTTTAATTTATTAGATTTTTTATACATTTGTAGAACCTGCTCTGATATTCACAATATTTGGAGATTTTCATTAACACAGTGTCGTCGCCACGTGTTCAAGTTTTACACTCACCGCTTGTTAGCCAAGCGTCCCGACATTTTTGTTTATAATCCTTTACAATTTTTTAAAACAATAAAAACGCACTGAACTTAAGATCAATTAACTATTGCCTTATGTGACGCTATGATATTAATTGGTTTTGAGGTTGCTTTACAACACTATACAATCGTTTTGTCACTAAACTTGTTGGCAGGCATCCACAAAACAGCTTCAGCAAATATTGTCCCATACTTTTACGCACATACTTGTAAAAGAAAATCTGAAAAAAAGCATTAGGTAAGAAAAAAATTCAGAATTCCCGATGCACGCTGTTTGCAACTTTCTTAAATGGCAAACGGTATTTGAAAATACTTAAAATAATAAGCTCAAATAAGCTATAGAATAAGCTCAAAGCTTAACACAGTCAATAAAAAGAGTTCAAGACCTTGAGCAGTGGTGGGCAAGCTCTCATTTGCCACAGCACGCGTGCAAATTATCTTGTGTTTTTCTATTTTATTCGTTTTTTTCGCGGTCTTTTAGAATTTTAGAAATGTCTTGTGCATCATTTAGTGCATCAGCTAGCATTCCTGTATTCATCATAAAGATTGAGAAACGACTTATTAAATTTTATTAAGCTATTACTTATTTATTGAGCTAAGAGGAGTTATTAAGGAAATTTAAAATACTAGATTTAAGATTTGAAGGTCAGGAAAAGATTTTATAGAGTAGAGACATAAGAAGTTCGAACATTAGAAGGAATAGAGGACTAAAGTTTCTAGTCCTTCTATTAGGAATCTTATAATTTAAGCGTGTTACTAAATGCTGGCTATCTATGTACATCCCCATCCCCAAATCTACACCCAGAATCGTCCTACGATTAGTTAAGCTTGGCAAGTTTATTAGTAGGATTCTACCACTATAAGATGGAAGATAAAGTTTTAGATCCGAGTTAAGACCTCTTTGTGAAAATGTTAAGAAATTCTTCTGTACGATTTTTATGCGATCCAAATATACTCCATATTAGGAACTCCAGACACTCCAGACACATGAACCGCATTTCAGTATCTGACGGACCAATGAAATGAATAAGCTTTTAGTAATGTAGGGATCGTTAAATTCTTTTGACCATCTTT